GTTGAAGTTGGATCTTTACTGTTTAAATAATTCGGTGTGAATTTATGTACTAAAGATCTTAATCTTGATAAATTATTTACAAATTTTAATATGTTTATCAGCATTGTTAAGGTCTTTCTAAGATGCCTGTAAACCAAATATTATGGAACTACTTTCTATAATTATTTATAGTTTTGTTTATGTAATTTATCATGCTTATTTTAAAAATATCAATAACCTTCGACATAAGATAACTCACATGTTAAAGCGTAAATTACAAAATATATCCAATGATTTAAATTGTTAATTATACATTTAAAGGAATAAAGAAATTATTTCTGAACTCTTTGATAATTGAAACTTTTATTTATTATTTTTTGCAGTGTTACATAATAAATATAATAGCGAAAAATCCTCTACATACCAAAAAAATGGTACTATATTCGCCATTCGTTATGGTTCTGGCAGCCTGTCTGGATTTTTATCTGAAGATGTAGTGAATGTGAGTCATTATTTAGCAAACAATTTAATATAGTTTCAACTAAGTAATTTGTGAAAATTTCTTAGAAACATTGTTATTGGGTGAACCTTAAGATGAGCTACATTCTTGTAAAAAAAAGAATGACTATTTATTTGTTATGTGTTTTTGTCTTCTGAATATGACAATATAAAATATAAATATCTCTACCCTATATAATCATTTTTTTATGAGGCTGTAGCTCATCCAAAGATTTACCTGCTTTGTTTTCCAAAGTAAAGCACAATATTTTATTAATAATATCGATCCTATTATTAGGTTGCTGGCCTTGATGTTCAGCGTCAAACATTTGCGGAAGCGATAACAGAACCAGGATTAACCTTTGTTGCTGCGAAATTCGATGGTATTTTGGGGATGGGTTACTCCACGATATCCGTCGATGGAGTGACTCCTGTCTTCTATAATATGGTCAAACAAAACTTGGTGCCGCAAGCTATTTTTAGTTTCTATTTAAATCGGTAAAAATTTTGCATGCATCATGTATTTCTAAAAATGTTTTTTTCATTTAAATAGTTTTTCCATATTACAATATAAAAAATATGAAACCTATACAGCGATCCCTCAGCTGCAGTGGGTGGTGAAATGATATTGGGTGGCTCCGACCCCGATCATTACGAAGGCGAATTCACGTATATTCCTGTTACTCGCAAAGGATACTGGCAATTTAAGATGGATGGGTATGCGATTAAATTAAATGTCATATAATCACGGATTATACATATGTATTTTGTCAGCAAATTGTTAACGCTATGACACTATAGGGTTCAAGTGGCAGATAGCGCTTTCTGCAAGAAAGGCTGCGAAGCTATTGCCGATACGGGCACTTCCCTAATAGCTGGACCAACGGCAGAAATTAAAGATATTAACGAAATGATTGGAGCTACTTCTATTGGTGGGGAAGCACTGGTAAGTAACTGATTTTCGCACAATAGTAACTTATAACAATATCGAGATAAATTATACACAGAAATAAGAATTAATTTATAATAAATTATTGATTACTAATATGAATAACTAATATTAATTATTTAAAGGTGAATTGTAACCAGATTTCTAGTATGCCCTCGATCAGTTTCACGTTAGGTGGTAAGAATTTCAATCTTACTGGTGAAGATTATGTCCTTAAGGTAAATATAAACGGCTGATGTAATGATTTAAATTATTTTAGAACAGAAATCACGCAATATTTAATTTTTCCTAGATTAAACAATTTGGTAAAACAATATGTATGAGTGGCTTTATGGGTATGGATTTGCCTCTGTCAATGTGGATTTTGGGTGATGTATTTCTTGGCCGATATTATACTTTGTTTGACATGGAGAACGACCGAGTAGGATTCGCTCTTTCAAAGTAAATGTTGATTGCCTTTTCATGAAGTTGCCGTTAGACGCTAGAGAAGATTTAAATGGCAACTTCGCGAATAATTAACTAAAATTTTCTGAGAATACTGTTTCCTTATTGACTTGTAATTTTTACCTGGGTTCTACATGATACGTTGTTACATAATTGTCTACGTGATACTTAACAAAATAGATATCGTTTCTAAATATAGCATATCCTTTTTTTTCATAGAAGTGTATTATCACCCAGTATATATTATCAAAGTATATATTAAATATAATTAAGTTTATTACAATAAAATATATATTTTTTTTCATATACTCTCTGCATAATAATTTTACAGTACCGTTTAAAAGTGTATTACCTTTACATTTCTGAGCATAACTTTCATTAAAGTGAATCAAATAAATGCATTTAATTTTCTTTGACAGAAGTTATGCTAAAAAAAGTTAAGATGATACATTTTTGAGCGATACTACCATTGGTATATGTTATCTTTCAATTTTACATATCCCAAGTATTATTACATATATTATGCACTTTCTGCTTAAATATAGTACTGTATTCTAAGTATGGCACATCGTAAAAGGAGTTGATAACATTATTTATAATTATAATTAATAAACGAACTAATATATTATTTTTTGCATTTTATGACGAGAAAATTGCACTTTTTGAAGAGTAACTAGATATGCTAAGTTTTTCTATTTGATTGCATGAAGTGCATAAAACACGGAAGTAGATGATCAAGACCATTGTCTTGTCATCCATGAGTTAGGGTTTAAGTCACAAATTAATTTTGTCACAGTCATCTATAAAAAAAAAAGAAGAAAATTTATAGCATAGGAAAATTTGTATAGTAGTCATCGCTTTCTTATGTGTAATAATAGTATTATCTTTATGTAACAAAATACTTTTTGATGATGTTTTTCTAATGACAATTAAAACTTACAACTATCCAACATACGTTAAACTTCACGGAGCGGAGCGATAAATTTATTTCAACTATAAGTACCAAGAGGAATAGTTTTGAAAATATACTCGACTGCTATAGTAATGGACAGCAAAGATACTAGAATTTTGTTAATTGTTATAAAAATCGATCCACTTGGTTTCAGAATTTTCACGCATCCCTAAAAAAATTATAAAATGTTTTATATTTTTTTCAATATTTTATTTATATTTAATAAATTTCTTGGTAAAAATTTTTCTAGAATTCTTCATATAATTTTCACAAAATTTTATAAAATCCTTATATAATTTCAGAAAATTTTTTAGAAAAAAAATAAAATGATGGATTTTTTAAAAAGTTTTACATTTTTGGAATACTTCAGAAATACTGAGAAAATCTATCTTTTCTAGAATTCTTTATACAGGATGTGCGGCAACGTCTCCTGTAAGCAAATGGAGTGGGCTAGACTGCAAGTCAAAAAGTTTTTTATAAAAAAATCAAATTTCGAAAAATGTAAAACAATTGTTTATATATAATTATAATAAGCAATTCTTTTATATTTCTCCAAACTTGATTTTTTTCTAAAACAAACAAGCAAAAATTATCCTTGTAATGATTTTGTTGTTTTTCCATTATTATCAAAGATATCAGAAGGTTACGGGTTATCGCCGTATCTTTATTCATTGCTAATGCCAGCCGGGCATTAGCAATGACATAGCGATAACCCGCAAA